TCATGCCAAGACGCCGTGGTGAAGTTGCTTCCATGCCAGGACTTCTAGAAGGGCTCGGGCCCACCGGTGCCGAGCTTCAGCTGTTGTTTGACTGCACAAGAAGTGTCCCAACCCAACAAGCCAACACCACCCAAATCCGCAGAAACCTGTGTGAATGCTTCAAGAAAGCTGCCGTAGACTTTGGTGTTGATCCTACTGAGGCCAACCTGATTCCCAAGTTCTGCAAGCTCGACCTTTCCGTTCCCATTGACCCAAAAATTTATTGCAATAAGTACGCGTTTATAACTCGTTTTAAAATAATTTTATTTTTTATAAAAATAAAAATGAAAACGTTTTCAATCTTAGATATAAATTATTTTTGAAAATGTATTTAGTAGTTTTATTAAGAGATTATTTTCAGTATAAAAAAACTCATTAATATCTCTCTCTCGAGGAGAAAACAAAAATAAAAAATAAAAAATGATTAAAAGTCGTTTTTTATTTCTCTCTCATTTTACACTAAATTAAAAAATCATTTTCATTTCTATTTTTTATCTTTATTACGCCAAACACTATTTTAGAAACGTTTTTATTTTTTTCTTGAAAAGCGAAATCAATTCCAAACACAGCCGTAATATTTCTCTCTCGTTTTCTCTAGTAGAACGTAATATTGTGCTAATACATTCTCTTCGGTGATTATGGTGGTCGGTGTCACTGTTCACAATGTGTTGTTAATTTTTTTCTCCTACTCAAATCGGTGAAATAAACAGAACTGTAACAAAACACAATTGTGTGAATACTTCATGACACAATTGTGTGTGCGCGCTATGAAGCGTGGGATGCATGCCTTATTTATAGCAATGGCACCACTAATGCATTAATGAGAGGATTGTTGTAATGAAGTTAATTGTGGTAAGTAATTAATTGTTAGCCAGTTGCGTTTTAAGCCTGAGTTATCAACTCTAAGAAATAAGTATTTATTTATTTATTTATTTATTTTGCAAAAGTTAGTGTTCTCTCCTTTTCTTTTCTTTTTTTTTTTTTTTTACTAGAATGTCCTTGTTATTTTTTTCCCCTAAGAAATGTCCTTGTTTTTTTATCATACCCCTAAATTCAAGATGTTTGATTTGATTTTAATTTCAATCTAAATTAAGATGGATTTGTGCTACGGGTATATTACGTTTTCTCCCCAAGTCAAGATTTAGTTACTATCAAGTTAATTTTCAAAAAGAAAATAATGAGCTAGATAAAAATTTATGCAAGTTTTTACCCCACTCCCAAGACGAAAAGACCAATCTACATATATACATAATAATCAAGGGTTCAACCTTAGACATCTAAAAAACACAACCAAGAAAAATAATTCAAATTTTTTGGTTTATGGGTTTAGAACCATGAGTCATGATTTTAATTTTTTAAATTTTAATTTTTTGTGAGAGAAAAAAACTATAAAGAACCAAGAACCATGATTCAAAATCAATGACAAACTCTTAAAATAAACATTCCAAAAATATTTTAAGTTTAAATTAAAATAAGTCGTTATAGCCATTTCATTACATGAGAGGGTTGCGGTAAGGTTCTAAGGTAATACAAGACCAAATGGTAGTGCTCCATTTGGATTATGGACCATCTATAAGAAAATTACATTTTTATCTCACATTAAATTAATAAAGAATAAAAGAGGTAGAATTTGTAGTTTGCGTGACTACTTTGCATGCTCAACCTCTTTCTAAAGAGAATTTTAAATTAATTTTAATGAAATCTCCTTTTTGATATTTACAAACTTCGTATAAGGACAATTTTGGAGTCAGGAAGAGTTACAAATGTAATGCTTAAGTGATAAGTGTGCTGAATAAAATTCACTTTTACTAGGAAAAAAAAAAAGCATATATGTTCAGCAAAAACGACTATATATGGTAATTGGAGATACCAATTTCTGATCCTTGATTAATGACACCACTTTGTGCTGATTATTAAGTCAGTTAATTAACGTACGTTTTTTCATAGGACTTTTCAGCCTTTTAATAAGAGTTTCTCAAGTATGACAAAAAAATGAAACTACCAGTAATTTTATTTTTCAGTCGTTTTTAGTCGTTAGATTTATATTAAAAACTGTCTGTTTATATACTTTTTAAATCTCATTTAATTTTGACCAGATCCAACGGTCAGATTACTGGTCATGCCGGTAAGACGGTTTATCAGAGACAGGCATAGTTTGGTATTACTTTTCGCTCTAAAAATTAGCTTCTACTTGTAGCAAAGGCTGATTTTTAGTGTTTGAAAAATCTATTCAAAAGTGCTTTTTGAAGAATTTTTAAAAAATCTATAGCTAAAATCAGAAGCAGCCCAAAGACAACTTTAACTTTTAGATAGTGCGGGAATCAACATAGTATAATTAATGAAACTTTCATAATACCTATAATATCTCTAATGAAATTTAAAATTTATAATCTTCCAAATCTAAAATTCAAACTCATAATATAATATAATATAATATAATGTAATAGTAATATTATAACAAATAATATCATAATTATATTAATAACTCTAATATTATTATTTTATCATATAATATGATATTATAATAATATTATAATT